GCCACTTTATTCCTCGGGTTTTGTGGACAAGAACACAACGTTGTTCCAGGAAGATGGAGCACCGTGTCACACTGCTAGAAACACCCAAAAGAGGCAGGAAGAAAATGGTATCCAGAAGTTGCCCGGGCCGAGCCAGTCTCCTGACATGAACCCCATCGAAAACCTCTGGGCCATACTTGACCGGCAAGAAACAACCAAAAAAGAAAAACAACTTCGAAGAGCGATTTACTCCAAGTTTTGAAACAAGAGTGGGCGAAAATTGCACAATCTAAAATTGACAAGATGATTCTCACAATGCCCCAAAGGATCAACGAACTCCACGAAGCGAAAGGAAGATCTACTAGATATTAGTTAAATTATAAATATATCAATTCATGTGAATATGACTGAAAAATTTAATTTTTTCTGAAAATGTGGTGTCTATTTACTTGTGACCATGATGTGTATATATATATATATATATATATCTACACTCTTGTTTTTCAGTGGATACTAGGTTTTACATACAAAGTTCCAACTGGTCAGAAATGTCACCAACGTTACAATGTGTTGTTATTGAATGTGATTATACTTGAAAGAGTGTGAGATATCTCTGTTATGGAAATACACATACACAGGGAGGACAGAAAGTTTAATGACTTCCATAGAATTTTTTTTCACAATATAATATTAATTTTTTCACAATTATTTAATTCCTCAATGAATTCTTCTAAATTTTTTCACAAGTATATATTTATTTTTCAACAACATAAGTACACATTCAAAACATTTTATGACAAGATTTAAACTTTTTGGTACCTCCCTTTGTACAGTGTTATGTTTGTTGTTTGCAAGTGTATCCTTTTTTTTCAGGGCATTATGATATTCACTAACAGGTACCAGTAGTTTTCTTCCAGTTCCTTCTAATCCCATTCTCTCCACATTACGTATTATTTTCTTTTGCATAAAAGCATGAAAAGGCATGCAATAAACATGCAAATGCAATTCTTTAACTTATAAACCAGAATAAGATTATAGTTTATTGAAACTGTACATTATTATGCCTTGTCTCTCTATTATTGAATTTAATTTAATAGAAAGCAAAATATTTCTGTTTAGATAGTGCCATCTATTGTGGTAAAATCAAAATGTATTTCATATTCAACATTTTATATTTATTGACTATTACATCCTCATTTTTCATATCTAAATAATAAGGATGTTATAAAATATTAATGGAAATTTAAGTTATAATAAAATCCAGACTATTTTGTTTCTTAATTATTTAAAATTTGATTATTTACTTTTTGAAATTAGCGTATTTGCTCAAATTTTTGTTTTCATGGTAGTAAAAATTGTTGTGAAAATGCACAAAAAATTTTAATCGTGCTGTTCTTTTATGGTTTCTGTTCATTTAATCACTTATTTTGGTAGAGAAACCTTATCTTTATAATGATGGCTTATGTGATAAATAATTGTATTTATATTAAAATAAAGTTTGTTTTTTTCCTAACTCAGAGATGTTTATATGGACCACCTCTATAATGTTTTAAGGCTTTTAATACAAAAAAAAAAAATTATATGTATATATATATATGTGTGTGGGTATATGTATACATATATATATATAATTACTTTGGTCATACCAAAATGTAATGCACTGTATTTTATACATAAAAACAACTTTACCACCTAAATCTTAAAGAAATATTTCCTATTCCAGGAATCCCTTAAGCTTATTTTTTAAATTTCCTTTTCTTAACATAATGTAATTTCTGAGGAAGTTGTTTAAAAATGAACCTGTCAACTGACCAGTAGTGGTGCATGCCTGAGAGGGCAGCTTTTATCTGACTTACATCACTGAGAAGTTTTAATATCTTTATTCTTTGTCTTTACAGGGCAAGTTATGTTCAAGTGCACGGATATTAATTAATGCATGTATTTTTTTCTTGTTTGTCTTATGCATGCAGGGATTCGGTTTTGTAACATTCGCAAGTAGCGCGGATGCTGATCGTGCACGAGAGCAATTGAACGGCACCGTGGTTGAGGGACGCAAAATAGAGGTGCATGATTTTTTACCTTTGTGATAGCACTCACTGTCCTAACATTATGCTTAGATAGAACCAATCAGCAAAGAAATGTCCATCCGGAAATTAGTCATATCTTGGAATTATAAGCTCAAAAAATCACGTACATGTATGTAGATAACATGTAGAATTGGATTGAATGAACCATCTAGTTAATCATGCCTTTGAAATAATAAATTTTGATATATTGTGTATATATATCTGTGTATTCGTTTTATAGAAACAGTAGTTCCTAGTTAGAAAACCGGGGAAACTGAGACCCTTACTCACTCTGACATAGTGGAAAAATTATGGTTAATTATATTATTTACTTCAATTTTGTTCCTTTAATTTTGCATTAGGCTGTATCATATTTTCTCAGTTTGTAATGAATTAATCCAGTTGTGTGGGTGTTGGCATATCATGTATACTTGTATGTAATTGAGACACATTTAAGCTAGCTGTTTTGTTTATAGTTGGAGAGTGTGGTTTATTGACTTATATAGCTGGAAATGCCAGATGTTTTTTATGCCACATTTCTCTTACTTGTTAATCGCACTGCTTGAAATAATTAAGCACGATATTTCTACGTGAACCTTGATTTACCTACTGGATAGACATTTCTTGTGTTGATGCTGCTGTTAAAGTAGTTTGTAAGAGTCATAAGTATGTGTGCATTTCCTTTTTTGTTTGATTTTTAAGCTAATTATTTTACTTAAAATCTCTCAAGTTGTGCTCTTTTATCTTTTATCAAGGATAACGTGACACAAACCTAAACAATTGTTATTCAGGAAGTGTAGGGGCAGGTAAGATAAAGCTAGAGACAGTTTTTACTTATCCATAATATTGCTGTCAAAATAAAAACATTTTCACACACAAATACAACTGCATGTTATGCTTATAGAGTGTAAGCAGCTAATAATAAACATTAAAATTACTATACTGATATCTATGTAGTCGTGCAGGTTTTGGAAGAACATTTTAAAATATAGTATGCATTCTATATTCATAACCAATATCAAATAGTATCTGATTTTGGAGATTGTTCCATTTAAGTTAGGAAATATAGTGGATATACAAACAATAATGTTTTGTTTTTTGTAATAAACAAATTTAATTATATGTCTTTCTTTTTAGGTCTTTTTTTATAGCATATTATATTTTCTTACCACTTGGTTCTAGCAAACTATTTGTGTATTATCTTATTTTTTAAGTGCTAAAACTCAACTGATAGAGATTCTAATTAAGTTATATAAAATGGAAGAATGTAAATGTTCATTTTAAGAGCAGGAATTAATGGAATTATAATAAGGATCATTCATTGTACTTAAACATTTCAAATTGATTAGAAACATAGATGATATTTTACTGCTATGTAGCTAATATGTTAATAATTCTTATATAGGTTATGATTTTTGGTAATGCAGTTAGGGCTAGAATATTGAGTTATTTTTGCCTGTTTCAACATTTAGTATAAGAAACTGAGTAAAAACATTGAGTGATATCATTCATTTTCTATGTAAAATACACAAGACATCACAACAGTAATTAGTGAGATTAATTGCAACACTTGTGATATCTTTGTTTAAGAAAGCTATAGGCACACAAATAATTTTTTTGTGTATAATTAGCTTACAAAAACGTGTTTTTAAAAGGTGATGGGTCTGTGTCCCCATCAGTAATACTAGGGTTAGTATATCATCTTCCTTTACTTAATGATTTTTAGTGTTATTTTGTCCTATCTGTACAATCATAGATTTGTTGGACTTAAACTGAATGATAAAGTTAAGGAAGTGACAAACAAGGTGATATCAAAATTTTTAAAACATATTATGCCAAATAACAGACACTAAAAATTTTCAACCTATTATAGCGTATGAAGATGTTAAGAAATCTGCTCTAAATATAGCTGTAATCTCTAACTTTCAATTCACATTAATATTCTAAGCTTCATGGACTAAAGTTCTAAGTAGAAATCTCATCATCCAGTACATTAAATATCTGTTGTACCTCAACTAATTTCAGGGAATATCCTCATGCAGGCTAGTCTTGACCACCTGAGTGGTTTTATTCATGACTATGCGACTATATATGTATAGAGAGAGGTATATAAAGCCACTAAGTACCTCATAATAGTAATCTCATCATGTATCATATATTTTTGTAATGTTCATTGATTAGTTTTTGTGGAAACACTACTCTACCCTACACAGGGAAAAACTCATGACCTGCATCTTATGCTAGTGTTCTTTCAGCTGAGCTATCTAGACTACAATTGCCAGTACATAACTCCTACCTTACTCATTACATATTCTTCACAAGTAACATAACATAACATAAAATTTAAGGATATCAAGAGACCTGTTGGTCCACCTAAGTCATCTCCTCCACTAAATTAAACTTTAAAATAAATATAAAACACTCAAACCTAATCCTTGTCATTCATTTAGTAAAAATAAATCTTCTGCATCCATAAATCTCAAGGAAACCCATTCTACAAGCCAACCACTCTGTTAGAAAAATAAAACTATCAATTCTCTTAACATTTTTAAACACCTCAATCAGACATCTTTTAACTTTTCTTTTTTTAAGAGAAAACAATTTCATACATCTTAACATGCCCTTGTATGACAACCTATCCATCCCAGGTACCATTCTAGTAGCCCTCCTGTGTACGATTTCCAACAATTCAATATCTTTCCTAATGTAAGGAGCCCAAAACTGAACACAGGACTCTAAATGTGGCCTAACCAGTGACGTATACAATGAAATTATAATATCTTTAGACTTGTATTAAATATTTCTGTAGATACAACCTAAAATTCTATTTGCTCTGCCTCTAGCAACAGCACACTACTTAGATGACTCAAGAGACTAATTATTCAATCAACCAGAAGACCAATATTCTTTTTTTTTTCATAACACTTAGGATTATTCCCCTCAAAATCATACTTATAATTCAAATTATGATATTCAAGATGCATTACCTTGCATTCATTATAATTAATAAACCATATCCATATATTTGCCCAACTCATCACACAATTCAAATCCTTTTGTAAAGCATCAGCATTATCTTCAGAGTCAGAATCACCCAAAACCTTGACATCATCAGCAAATTTAAGTAATTTATTGACCATTCCTTCATCTTTATCATTGATGTAAATTTATCCAGTTTGGCTGAAGTCCATTTATAACAACAACCTTCTGCTTTCCTCCATCCAGCTACTTTTCTATCTAATGAGGCAAATTATCTCTCATACCCATAAACATAAATTTTACCATGCTCAAGTACACATTGCATGCTAATTGCAGTGATAAATGTTTGTGGAAATACTACTTCACCCTGAGTAAGGCTTAAACCCAGACCTCCAGCTTGCATTAACACTCTGCAATTCGAACTGAGCTCTCAGGCAGACAACTCCTCCTCCTTTTATAATTACATTCTCTATAATTAATCATATTTCTCATCATGCTATACATTTTTCATATTTTGATTACAGAATCCTTACAGGATATTTAATTTATGCTCATATTTTAAGATCAAAGTTAAAAATCTATGGCATACTCTGCAAATTCAAGCTGGTCAGTTCTATATATCAGATACTTTTCAAACTTTATTTTCTAAGCCAAAGTTAACACCATGTATAATTCTCAATCTGTAGGTATCAATTTCCTACCAGTCTCTGAATGTATCAAATTAAGGTTTTCACAAATGTAAACTACATCAGTACTTCCTTGTGTTACTTATATCTTAAATGCATCTCTTATCTTCACATTTATTCTAATAAATACTAGACTTGGTTGATACATACTTAAATTTATCATACTGAGAAATCTTAAAGAGGCAAGAAAAGCTACTGTAAATTAGTCAGTTTTGAACCTTTCTTTTATCCAACAGAAAGGAACTATCATTTACAGATAATTGATTAATTGATGAACTGGTAGTGAGCTATTTTAATGTTTAGTATTATATGAACAACGAAAGTAAGTAAATATTTTGATAATCAACAGTTTAAATCACTAAGAGATTGCTTTTATAATGAAAATTTTGTTATTGTATATATATAATCATTTTATAATGGTAAGTTATTTTAAGTGTGGTTATAACTTAAATAAGCACAGATCCTTATAAAGACTCACTCAGCAGTCATAGTGTTTGACTTCACATTTAAACTTGATGTTTTGAAAAGTTTTATGATCTGTTTTCTATATGGTAACCTTGTTTTGTATATAATTTCTAATCATACATATTTTTTAATTATGATGTCATCCACAACAAATTCTTTTCAACAAATGTTTGTATGTATGTACACACATATATATAATTTATGCATAAATAAGTATCAAAGTATATTAATGCACTTGAAAATCCAAAGCTTTAATATTTTGGAATTGGCTAAATGTACATTATGTTTAAGCCAGTCACATTTTTTTTTAGTTTCTACAATAAAACAGCCACAATTTTTGTTATTTTATACAGTAACATATTTATAATTCCTAATTTCTGTGCTTATATGATGCTAAATTTACTCAAATTATGTTTTATGGAACTAAGTACACAGAACTGCCCAATTAAGCCAAGGATACAAGGATTTACCAAATATTTTCTTATCCAATTATCATCAACTGTGATCTCTTATTGGTTCTGAATCTATAAATTTGAACTTGGAACTATTTGAATTCGATGTAATCCTAATTCTTATGGTAGTCAGAACTCTTAAGTTTCTATCTTGAGAACATTACAAAAATTTCAGTTATGCACTCTTGGCTTAGTTCTAATCAATGTTTATGTGATTTAAAGACTTCAACAAACAATGGCACCTCTTAGGTGACCTTGAAACAAACAAAATATGCAGGATAATAAATATTTATATCATGAAACACCACTATATTATATAAATTTTACATAACAAATAGTTTCTATAATAATAATTAAGACTACAAACTAGTTTTAATAAACACATTTTTTATACTATATTTTATTTGTACCATCA